TACATATCCAAAATGGGTCTACTGTGGCTTAAAAGATTCACAAATGACTCAGCTTGCCTTTTAACCTATACATATGTGTTAATTGTACATATATTTGTGTATAGGAAGAAAAAACTAGGTTTACCCAAGGTATGAACAACACAAAAACACACTAAAACCTACATAAATTCTACAATTCTTCACCAAATTCGATCAAACCTAGTCTAAACTCAAGAGAATTTTGTCAGCTTTCAGAATATATGGTCAAATTGCCGATTTAAATGATTTAAATGGTCGAAATGATGAAAAAACCAAAATTTCGACCTAGGTCAAAATTTTCAAAAAACTGAATTTTTTTCCAAAAATACATATCCAAAATGGGTCTACTGTGGCTTAAAAGATTCACAAATGACTCAGCTTGCCTTTTAACCTATACATATGTGTTAATTGTACATATATTTGTGTATAGGAAGAAAAAACTAGGTTTACCCAAGGTATGAACAACACAAAAACACACTAAAACCTACATAAATTCTACAATTCTTCACCAAATTCGATCAAACCTAGTCTAAACTCAAGAGAATTTTGTCAGCTTTCAGAATATATGGTCAAATTGCCGATTTAATTGATTTAAATGGTCGAAATGATGAAAAAACCAAAATTTCGACCTAGGTCAAAATTTTCAAAAAACTGAATTTTTTTTCCAAAAATACATATCCAAAATGGGTCTACTGTGGCTTAAAAGATTCACAAATGACTCAGCTTGCCTTTTAACCTATACATATGTGTTAATTGTACATATATTTGTGTATAGGAAGAAAAAACTAGGTTTACCCAAGGTATGAACAACACAAAAACACACTAAAACCTACATAAATTCTACAATTCTTCACCAAATTCGATCAAACCTAGTCTAAACTCAAGAGAATTTTGTCAGCTTTCAGAATATATGGTCAAATTGCCGATTTAAGTGATTTAAATGGTCGAAATGATGAAAAAACCAAAATTTCGACCTAGGTCAAAATTTTCAAAAAACTGAATTTTTTTCCAAAAATACATATCCAAAATGGGTCTACTGTGGCTTAAAAGATTCACAAATGACTCAGCTTGCCTTTTAACCTATACATATGTGTTAATTGTACATATATTTGTGTATAGGAAGAAAAAACTAGGTTTACCCAAGGTATGAACAACACAAAAACACACTAAAACCTACATAAATTCTACAATTCTTCACCAAATTCGATCAAACCTAGTCTAAACTCAAGAGAATTTTGTCAGCTTTCAGAATATATGGTCAAATTGCCGATTTAAGTGATTTAAATGGTCGAAATGATGAAAAAACCAAAATTTCGACCTAGGTCAAAATTTTCAAAAAACTGAATTTTTTTCCAAAAATACATATCCAAAATGGGTCTACTGTGGCTTAAAAGATTCACAAATGACTCAGCTTGCCTTTTAACCTATACATATGTGTTAATTGTACATATATTTGTGTATAGGAAGAAAAAACTAGGTTTACCCAAGGTATGAACAACACAAAAACACACTAAAACCTACATAAATTCTACAATTCTTCACCAAATTCGATCAAACCTAGTCTAAACTCAAGAGAATTTTGTCAGCTTTCAGAATATATGGTCAAATTGCCGATTTAAGTGATTTAAATGGTCGAAATGATGAAAAAACCAAAATTTCGACCTAGGTCAAAATTTTCAAAAAACTGAATTTTTTTCCAAAAATACATATCCAAAATGGGTCTACTGTGGCTTAAAAGATTCACAAATGACTCAGCTTGCCTTTTAACCTATACATATGTGTTAATTGTACATATATTTGTGTATAGGAAGAAAAAACTAGGTTTACCCAAGGTATGAACAACACAAAAACACACTAAAACCTACATAAATTCTACAATTCTTCACCAAATTCGATCAAACCTAGTCTAAACTCAAGAGAATTTTGTCAGCTTTCAGAATATATGGTCAAATTGCCGATTTAATGATTTAAATGGTCGAAATGATGAAAAAACCAAAATTTCGACCTAGGTCAAAATTTTCAAAAAACTGAATTTTTTTCCAAAAATACATATCCAAAATGGGTCTACTGTGGCTTAAAAGATTCACAAATGACTCAGCTTGCCTTTTAACCTATACATATGTGTTAATTGTACATATATTTGTGTATAGGAAGAAAAAACTAGGTTTACCCAAGGTATGAACAACACAAAAACACACTAAAACCTACATAAATTCTACAATTCTTCACCAAATTCGATCAAACCTAGACTAAACTCAAGAGAATTTTGTCAGCTTTCAGAATATATGGTCAAATTGCCGATTTGAGTGATTTAAATGGTCGAAATGATGAAAAAACCAAAATTTCGACCTAGGTCAAAATTTTCAAAAAACTGAATTTTTTTCCAAAAATACATATCCAAAATGGGTCTACTGTGGCTTAAAAGATTCACAAATGACTCAGCTTGCCTTTTAACCTATACATATGTGTTAATTGTACATATATTTGTGTATAGGAAGAAAAAACTAGGTTTACCCAAGGTATGAACAACACAAAAACACACTAAAACCTACATAAATTCTACAATTCTTCACCAAATTCGATCAAACCTAGTCTAAACTCAAGAGAATTTTGTCAGCTTTCAGAATATATGGTCAAATTGCCGATTTAAGTGATTTAAATGGTCGAAATGATGAAAAAACCAAAATTTCGACCTAGGTCAAAATTTTCAAAAAACTGAATTTTTTTCCAAAAATACATATCCAAAATGGGTCTACTGTGGCTTAAAAGATTCACAAATGACTCAGCTTGCCTTTTAACCTATACATATGTGTTAATTGTACATATATTTGTGTATAGGAAGAAAAAACTAGGTTTACCCAAGGTATGAACAACACAAAAACACACTAAAACCTACATAAATTCTACAATTCTTCACCAAATTCGATCAAACCTAGTCTAAACTCAAGAGAATTTTGTCAGCTTTCAGAATATATGGTCAAATTGCCGATTTAATTGATTTAAATGGTCGAAATGATGAAAAAACCAAAATTTCGACCTAGGTCAAAATTTTCAAAAAACTGAATTTTTTTCCAAAAATACATATCCAAAATGGGTCTACTGTGGCTTAAAAGATTCACAAATGACTCAGCTTGCCTTTTAACCTATACATATGTGTTAATTGTACATATATTTGTGTATAGGAAGAAAAAACTAGGTTTACCCAAGGTATGAACAACACAAAAACACACTAAAACCTACATAAATTCTACAATTCTTCACCAAATTCGATCAAACCTAGTCTAAACTCAAGAGAATTTTGTCAGCTTTCAGAATATATGGTCAAATTGCCGATTTAAGTGATTTAAATGGTCGAAATGATGAAAAAACCAAAATTTCGACCTAGGTCAAAATTTTCAAAAAACTGAATTTTTTTCCAAAAATACATATCCAAAATGGGTCTACTGTGGCTTAAAAGATTCACAAATGACTCAGCTTGCCTTTTAACCTATACATATGTGTTAATTGTACATATATTTGTGTATAGGAAGAAAAAACTAGGTTTACCCAAGGTATGAACAACACAAAAACACACTAAAACCTACATAAATTCTACAATTCTTCACCAAATTCGATCAAACCTAGTCTAAACTCAAGAGAATTTTGTCAGCTTTCAGAATATATGGTCAAATTGCCGATTTAAATGATTTAAATGGTCGAAATGATGAAAAAACCAAAATTTCGACCTAGGTCAAAATTTTCAAAAAACTGAATTTTTTTCCAAAAATACATATCCAAAATGGGTCTACTGTGGCTTAAAAGATTCACAAATGACTCAGCTTGCCTTTTAACCTATACATATGTGTTGATTGTACATATATTTGACTTGGACCTAGACTAGGTTGACCCAATGCTTGACGACCTTGACACTCTAATTTTACCTTGACATAATTCTACCATTCTTGACCTCATTGTCAAACTTGACTCTAACTCGATTTTGTCGCTTTCGACCTTGATCCTCAAATTGACCGTTTGACTTTGACCTTAATGGCGACCTGATGACTTTGACCTCAGTTCAAGACTTTGACCTAAACTGACATTACTTTGACCTCTATCCCGACTTGACCTCACTTCTTAGACCTTGACCTCTAACTTGACCTTGACTTTGACCTCTATCCCGACTTTGTACCTCATTCTTGACCTTGACAGAACCACCTAGCTTTACCCGTATGCACACTTGACCTCTATGACCTCTATTCTACGACTTTGACCTCATTCTTGACCTTGACCTCTAACATGACCTTGAGCTTTGACCTCTATCCCAACTTGACCTATTCTTGACCTTGACCTTTAACTTCGACCTTGAACTTTGACCTCATTTCGACCTTGACCTCTAACATGACCTTGGCTTTGACCTCTATCCAGACTTTGACCTCTTTTGATTACCAATGACCTTGACTTTGACCTCTATCCGACTTTGACCTCATTACTTGACCTTGACTTTGACTAAACCACCTTCACCTTGACTTTGACCTCTACCTCGACTTTGACCTCATTCTTGACCTTGACCTCTAACTTGACCTAAACTTTGACCTCTATCCCGACTTTGACCTCATTCTTGACCTTGACCTCTAACTTGACCTTGACTTTGACCTCTATCACGACTTTGACCTCTAACATGACCTTGCTTTGACCTCTATCCCGACTTTGACCTCATTCTTGACCTTGACCTCTAACTGACCTTGACTTTGACCTCTATCCCGACTTTGACCTCTAACTTGACCTTGACTTTGACCTCTGACCCAACTTGACCTTCGACTTTGACCTCTAACCCGACTTTGACCTCTTCTGACCTTGACCTCTAACTTGACCTTGACTTTGACCTCTATCCCGACTTTGACCTCATTCTTGACCTTGACCTCTAACTGACCTTGACTTTGACCTCTATTCACGACCTTGACCTCTAACTTGACCTTGACTTTGACCTCTATCCCGACTTTGACCTCATTCTTGACCTTGACCACTAACTCGACCTTTACTTTGACCTCTATCACGACTTTGACCTCTAACATGACCTTGACTTTGACCTCTACCTGACTTTGACCTCATTCTTGACCTTGACCTCTAACTTGACCTTGACTTTGACCTCTATCCCGACTTTGACCTCATTCGACCTTACCTCTACTTGACCTTGACTTTGACCTCTGTCCCGACTTTGACCTCATTCTTGACCTTGACCTCTAACTTGACCTTGACTTTGACCTCTATCCCGACTTTGACCTCTACTGACCTTGACTTTGACCTCTGACCTTGACTTTGACCTCATCTCGACCTTGACCTCTTACTTGACCTTGACTTTGACCTCTACCCCGACTTTGACCTCATTCTTGACCTTGACCTCTTACTTGACCTTGACTTTGACCTCTACCCCGACTTTGACCTCATTCTTGACCTTGACCTCTAACTTGACCTTGACTTTGACCTCTATCCCGACTTTGACCTCCTTACTTGACCTTGACTTTGACCTCTATCCCGACTTTGACCTCATTCTTGACCTTGACCTCTAACTTGACCTTGACTTTGACCTCTATCCCGACTTGACCTCTAACATGACCTTGACTTTGACCTCTGACCCGACTTTGACCTCTAACATGACCTTGGCTTTGACCTCTGACCCGACTTTGACCTCTATTCTTGACCTTGACCTCTAACTTGACCTTGGCTTTGACCTCTACCCCGAACTTGACCTCTTACTTGACCTTGACTTTGACCTCTGACTCGACTTTGACCTCTAACATGACCTTGGCTTTGACCTCTATCACGACTTTGACCTCTAACATGACCTTGACTTTGACCTCTATCCCGACTTTGACCTCATTCTTGACCTTGACCTCTAACTCAACCTAAACTTTGACCTCTATCCCGACTTTGACCTCATTCTTGACCTTGACCTCTTACTTGACCTTGACTTTGACCTCTATCTCGACTTTGGCCTCCTTCTAGACCTTGACCTCTAACTTGACCTTGACTTTGACCTCTATCCCGACTTTGACCTCATTCTTGACCTTGACCTCTTACTTGACCTTGACTTTGACCTCTATCCCGACTTTGACCTCTAACATGACCTTGGCTTTGACCTCTGACCCGACTTTGACCTCATTCTTGACCTTGACCTCTAACTTGACCTTGACTTTGACCTCTATCCCGACTCTGACCTCTAACATGACCTTGGCTTTGACCTCTGACCCGACTTTGACCTCTATTCTTGACCTTGACCTCTAACTTGACCTTGACTTTGACCTCTATTCTCGACCTTGACCTCTTACTTGACCTTGACTTTGACCTCTACCCCGACTTTGACCTCATTCTTGACCTTGACCTCTAACTTGACCTTGACTTTGACCTCTATCTCGACTTTGACCTCATTCTTGACCTTGACCTCTAACTTGACCTTGACTTTGACCTCTATCCCGACTTTGACCTCATTCTTGACCTTGACCTCTTACTTGACCTTGACTTTGACCTCTATCCCGACTTTGACCTCATTCTTGACCTTGACCTCTAACTTGACCTTGACTTTGACCTCTGTCCCGACTTTGACCTCATTCTTGACCTTGACCTCTAACTCGACCTTGACTTTGACCTCTATCCCGACTTTGACCTCTAACATGACCTTGGCTTTGACCTCTGACCCGACTTTGACCTCATTCTTGACCTTGACCTCTAACTTGACCTTGGCTTTGACCTCTATCTCGAACTTGACCTCTTACTTGACCTTGACTTTGACCTCTACCCGACTTTGACCTCATTCTTGACCTTGACCTCTAACTTGACCTTGACTTTGACCTCTATCCCGACTTTGACCTCATTCTTGACCTTGACCTCTAACTTGACCTTGACTTTGACCTCTATCCCGACTTTGACCTCATTCTTGACCTTGACCTCTAACTTGACCTTGGCTTTGACCTCTATCACGAACTTTGACCTCTAACTTGACCTTGACTTTGACCTCTACCCGACTTTGACCTCATTCTTGACCTTGACCTCTAACTTGACCTTGACTTTGACCTCTACCCGACTTTGACCTCATTCTTGACCTTGACCTCTTACTTGACCTTGACTTTGACCTCTACCCCGACTTTGACCTCATTCTTGACCTTGACCTCTATCACCTCTGACCTTAGACTTTGACCTCATTCTTGACCTTGACCTCTTACTTGACCTTGACTTTGACCTCTATCCCGACTTTGACCTCATTCTTGACCTTGACCTCTAACTTGACCTTGACTTTGACCTCTACCTCGACTTTGACCTCATTCTTGACCTTGACCTCTAACTCAACTTGAACTTTGACCTCTATCCCGACTTTGACCTCATTCTTGACCTTGACCTCTTACTTGACCTTGACTTTGACCTCTATCTCGACTTTGACCTCATTCTTGACCTTGACCTCTAACTTGACCTTGACTTTGACCTCTTCCCGACTTTGACCTCATTCTTGACCTTGACCCTAACTCGACCTTGACTTTGACCTCATTACTGACTTTGACCTCTAACAGTTACCGTGGCTTGTGGTTACCTCGGTTACCCTGGCTTGTGGTTACCTAGGTTACCTGGTTGAGCTCTAACTATGACTATGGCTTGTGGTACCTCGGTTCCCGATGGTTGACCTCTAACTTGACCTTGACTTTGATCTAGGTTACCATGGTTGACTATTGACCTCAGGTTACCATGGTTGACCTCTACCTAGCCTACCATGGTTGTGCTCTACCCGACGTTGACCGTCGTTCTGTGACCTAGGTGACCATGGCTGTGGTTACCTAGGTTACCGTGGTTGTTGGTTTTCTAGGTTACCATGGTTGTAGTTACATAGGTTACCATGCTTGTGGTTACCTAGGTTACCGTAGTTGTGGCTACCTAGGTTACCATAGTTGTGGTAACCTAGGTTACCGTGGTTGTGGATACCTAAGTTACCGTGGTTGTGGTTATCAAGGTTACCATGGTTGTGGTTACAGAGATTACCATGGTTGTGGTTACATAGGTTACCATGGTTGTGGTTACCTAGGTTACCATGGTTGTGGTTATCTAGGTTACCATGGTTGGGGTAACGTAGGTTACCGTGGTTGTGGTTACCTAGGTTACCGTGGTTGTGGTAACCTAGGTTACCGTGGTTGTGGTTATCTAGGTTACCATGGTTGTGGTTACATATATTACCATGGTTGTGGTTACCTAGGTTACCATGGTTGTGGTAATCTAGGTTACCATGGTTGGGGTAACCTAGGTTACCGTGGTTGTGGTTACCTAGGTTACCGTGGTTGTGTTTATCTAGGTTACCGTGGTTGTGGTAACATAGGTTACCATGGTTGTAATAACCTAGGTTACCATGGTTGTGGTTATCAAGGTTACAATGAATTTTGTCAGAATATATGGTCAAATTGCCGATTTGTGGGATTTAACTGGTCAAATTTTTGAAAAAACCAAAATTTCTACCTAGCTCAAAATTTTCAAAAAACTGAATTTTATTCCAAAAATACCACTCCAATATGGCTGTTCTGTGGCTTAAAAGATTCACAAATGTCTCACCTTGCCTTTTAACCTATTCATGTGTGTTGATTGTACAAATATTTTTATATAGGAAGAATAACCTAGGTTTACCCAAGGTATGTCAAACACAGAAACACACTAAAACCTACATAAATTCTACATTTCTGCACCAAATCCCCTCAAACCTAGACCAAACTCAACAGAATTTTGTCAGCAATCAAAATATATGGTCAAATTGCCCATTTATGTGATTAATATTGTCAAAATTTTGAAAAAACCAAAATTTCGACCTATCTCAAAATTTTCAAAAAACTGAATTTATTCCAAAAGCAATACTCCAATATGGCTGTACTGTGGCTTAAAAGATTCACAAATGTCTCAGCTTGCCTTTTAACCTATACATATGTGTTGATTGTACATATATTTTGTATAAAGGAAGAAAAACTTAGGATTACCCAAGGTATGTCCAACACAAAAACACACTAAAACCTACATAAATTCTACATTTCTGCACTAAATCCGCTCAAACCTAGACCAAACTCAAGAGAATTTTGTCAGCAATCAGAATAAAAGGTCAAATTGCCGATTTGTGTGATTGAAATGGTCAAAATTTTGAAAAAAACAAAATTTCGACCTAGCTCAAAATTTTCAAAAAACTGAATTTTATTCCATAAATACCACTCCAATATGGCTCTACTGTGGCTTAAAAGATTCACAAATGACTCAGCTTGCCTTTTAACCTATACATATGTGTTTAATTGTACATATATTTGTGTATAGGAAGAAAAACCTAGGTTTACCCAAGGTATGTACAACACAAAAACACACTAAAACCTACATAAATTCTACATTTCTGCACCAAATTCGATCAAACCTAGACTAAACTCAAGAGAATTTTGTCAGCATTCAGAATATATGGTCAAATTGCCGATTTGAGTGATTTAAATGGTCGAAATTATGAAAAAACCAAAATTTCGACCTAGCTCAAAATTTTCAAAAAACTGAATTTTTTTCCAAAAATACCATATCCAAAATGGGTCTACTGTGGCTTAAAAGATTCACAAATGACTCAGCTTGCCTTTTAACCTATACATATGTGTTAATTGTACATATATTTGTGTATAGGAAGAAAAACCTAGGTTTACCCAAGGTATGAACAACACAAAAACACACTAAAACCTACATAAATTCTACAATTCTTCACCAAATTCGATCAAACCTAGACCAAACTCAAGAGAATTTTGTCAGCTTTCAGAATATATGGTCAAATTGCCGATTTGAGTGATTTAAATGGTCGAAATGATGAAAAAACCAAAATTTCGACCTAGGTCAAAATTTTCAAAAAACTGAATTTTTTTCCAAAAATACATATCCAAAATGGGTCTACTGTGGCTTAAAAGATTCACAAATGACTCAGCTTGCCTTTTAACCTATACATATGTGTTAATTGTACATATATTTGTGTATAGGAAGAAAAACCTAGGTTTACCCAAGGTATGAACAACACAAAAACACACTAAAACCTACATAAATTCTACATTCTTCACCAAATTCGATCAAACCTAGACTAAACTCAAGAGAATTTTGTCAGCTTTCAGAATATATGGTCAAATTGCCGATTTGAGTCTTCAATGGTCGAAATGCTAAAGACCCGACTTTGACCTCATTCTTGACCTTGACCTCTAACTTGACCTTGGCTTTGACCTCTATCACGACTTTGACCTCTAACTTGACCTTGCTTTGACCTCTATCCGACTTTGACATCTTACTCGACCTTGACTTTGACCTATGACTATGACCTTACTTGACCTTACTTTGACCTCTTTCAAGACTTTGACCTCTAACATGACCTTGGCTTTGACCTCTATCCCGACTTTGACCTCATTCTTGACCTTGACCTCTAACTTGACCTTGACTTTGACCTCTATCCCGACTTTGACCTCTAACTTGACCTTGACTTTGACCTCTATCACCGCACTTGACCTCTTACTTGACCTTGACTTTGACCTCTATCTAGACTTTGACCTCTAACTTGACCTTGACTTTGACCTCTATCCCGACTTTGACCTCATTCTTGACCTTGACCTCTAACTTGACCTTGACTTTGACCTCTATCACGACTTTGACCTCTAACTTGACCTTGGCTTTGACCTCTGTCCCGACTTTGACCTCTTACTTGACCTTGACTTTGACCTCTATCACGACTTTGACCTCTAACTTGACCTTGACTTTGACCTCTATCCCGACTTTGACCTCATTCTTGACCTTGACCTCTAACTTCGACCTTGACTTTGACCTCTATCCCGACTTTGACCTCATTCTTGACCTTGACCTCTTACTTGACCTTGACTTTGACCTCTATCACGACTTTGACCTCTAACTTGACCTTGACTTTGACCTCTATCCCGACTTTGACCTCATTCTTGACCTTGACCTCTAACTCGACCTTGACTTTGACCTCTATCACGACTTTGACCTCTAACTTGACCTTGACTTTGACCTCTATCCCGACTTTGACCTCAACATGACCTTGACTTTGACCTCTATCCCGACTTTGACCTCTAACATGACCTTGACTTTGACCTCTATCCCGACTTTGACCTCATTCTTGACCTTGACCTCTAACTTGACCTTGACTTTGACCTCTATCACGACTTTGACCTCTAACTTGACCTTGGCTTTGACCTCTATCCCGACTTTGACCTCTTACTCGACCTTGACTTTGACCTCTATCCCGACTTTGACCTCATTCTTGACCTTGACCTCTAACTTGACCTTGACTTTGACCTCTATCCCGACTTTGACCTCATTCTTGACCTTGACCTCTAACTTGACCTTGACTTTGACCTCTATCCCGACTTTGACCTCATTCTTGACCTTGACCTCTAACTTCGACCTTGACTTTGACCTCTATCCCGACTTGACCTCTTACTTGACCTTGACTTTGACCTCTTTAGACCTTGACCTCTAACTTGACCTTGACTTTGACCTCTGTCCCGACTTTGACCTCATTCTTGACCTTGACCTCTAACTTGACCTTGACTTTGACCTCTAACTTGACCTTGGCTTTGACCTCTTCTCGACTTTGACCTCTAACTCGACCTTGACTTTGACCTCTGTCCCGACTTTGACCTCGTTTTTGACCTTGACCTCTAACTTGACCTTGGCTTTGACCTCTATCACGACTTTGACCTCTAACTTGACCTTGGCTTTGACCTCTTCAAGACTTTGACCTCTAACTTGACCTTGACTTTGACCTCTATCCCGACTGACCTCTAGACCTGACTTGACCTCTACGACCTTGACCTCTAACTTGACCTTGGCTTTGACCTCTATCCCGACTTTGACCTCATTCTTGACCTTGACCTCTAACTTGACCTTGACTTTGACCTCTATCACGACTTTGACCTCTAACTTGACCTTGGCTTTGACCTCTGACCCGACTTTGACCATCTTGACTCGACCTTGACTTTGACCTCTATCTCGACTTTGACCTCTAACTTGACCTTGACTTTGACCTCTATCCCGACTTTGACCTCATTCTTGACCTTGACCTCTAACTCGACCTTGACTTTGACCTCTATCCCGACTTTGACCTCTATTCTTGACCTTGCCTCTTGACCTCTGACCTTGACTTTGACCTCTATTCCCGACCTTGACCTCTTACTTGACCTTGACTTTGACCTCTACCCCGACTTTGACCTCATTCTTGACCTTGACCTCTAACTCAACCTAAACTTTGACCTCTATCCCGACTTTGACCTCATTCTTGACCTTGACCTCTTACTTGACCTTGACTTTGACCTCTATCCCGACTTTGACCTCAAACATGACCTTGACTTTGACCTCTACCCCGACTTTGACCTCATTCTTGACCTTGACCTCTAACTCGACCTTGACTTTGACCTCTATCACGACTTTGACCTCTAACATGACCTTGGCTTTGACCTCTACCCGACTTTGACCTCAAACATGACCTTGACTTTGACCTCTACCCCAACTTTGACCTCTAACATGACCTTGGCTTTGACCTCTACCCGACTTTGACCTCATTCTTGACCTTGACCTCTTACTTGACCTTGGCTTTGACCTCTATCACGACTTTGACCTCTAACTTGACCTTGGCTTTGACCTCTATCCCGACTTTGACATCTTACTCGACCTTAACTTTGACCTCTGTCCCGACTTTGACCTCATTCTTGACCTTGACTTTGACCTCTACCCCGACTTTGACCTCATTCTTGACCTTGACCTCTAACATGACCTTGGCTTTGACCTCTATCCCGACTTTGACCTCATTCTTGACCTTGACCTCTTACTTGACCTTGGCTTTGACCTCTATCCCGACTTGACCTCTAACTTGACCTTGGCTTTGACCTCTATCCCGACTTTGACCTCATTCTTGACCTTGACCTCTAACTTGACCTTGACTTTGACCTCTATCCCGACTTTGACCTCATTCTTGACCTTGACCTCTTACTTGACCTTGGCTTTGACCTCTATCACGACTTTGACCTCTAACATGACCTTGACTTTGACCTCTACCCCGACTTTGACCTCATTCTTGACCTTGACCTCTAACTTGACCTTGACTTTGACCTCTAACTTGACCTTGGCTTTGACCTCTATCCCGACTTTGACCTCTAACTTGACCTTGACTTTGACCTCTATCCCGACCTTGACCTCTTACTTGACCTTGACTTTGACCTCTACCCGACTTTGACCTCATTCTTGACCTTGACCTCTACTTGACCTTGACTTTGACCTCTACCCGACTTTGACCTCATTCTTGACCTTGACCTCTAACTTGACCTTGGCTTTGACCTCTATCCCGACTTTGATCTCTAACTCGACCTTAACTTTGACCTCTATCCCGAACTTGACCTCTTACTTGACCTTGACTTTGACCTCTGTCTCGACTTTGACCTCATTCTTGACCTTGACCTCTAACGTGACCTTGGCTTTGACCTCTATCACGACTTTGACCTCTAACTTGACCTTGGCTTTGACCTCTATCCCGACTTTGACCTCTAACTTGACCTTGGCTTTGACCTCTGTCCCGACTTTGACCTCATTCTTGACCTTGACCTCTAACTTGACCTTGACTTTGACCTCTATCTCCGACTTTGACCTCTTACTTGACCTTGACTTTGACCTCGAACCCAGCCTTCACCTTGACTTTGACCTCTATCTCGACTTTGGCCTCCTTCTAGACCTTGACCTCTAACTTGACCTTGACTTTGACCTCTACCCGACTTTGACCTCATTTATCCCCTTGACTTCATCTTTAATATTGACCTCGACCTTGTTTTTGACCTATTCTCCGATTTTGACCTGATTCTTGACCTTGACCTCTAACTCAACCTTGACTTTGAACTCATTTTTGAACTTATCCTTGGTTGTGGTAACCTAGGTTACCGTGGTTGTGGTTACCTAGGTTACCGTGGTTGTGGTTACCAAGGTTACCGTGGTTGTGGCTTACATATGGTAACTATGGTTGTGGTTACCTAGGTTACCATGGTTGTGGTAACCTAGGTTACCGTGGTTGTGGTACCTAGGTTACCATGGTTGTGGTAAACCTAGGATACCATGGTTGTGGTAACCTAGGTTACCATGAATTTTGTCAACAATCAGAATATATGGTCAAATTGCAGATTTGTGTGAAATAAATTGTCAAAATTGTGAAAAAACCAAAATTCGACCTAGCTCAAAATTTTCAAAAAACTGAATTTTATTCCAAAAATACCACTCCAATATGGCTGTACTGTGGCTTAAAAGATTCACAAATGTCTCAGCTTGCCTTTAACCTATACACGTGTGTTGACTTGTACATATATTTGTGTATAGGAAGAATAACCTAGGTTTACCCAAGGTATGACCAACACAAAAACACACTAAAACCTACATAAATTCTACATTTCTTCACCAAATTCGATCAAACCTAGACTAAACTCAGGAGAATTTTGTCAGCTTTTAGAATATATGGTCAAATTGCCGATTTAAATGATTTAAATGGTCGAAATGATGAAAAAACCAAAATTTCGACCTAGCTCAAAATTTTCAAAAAACTGAATTTTTTTCCAAAAATATATATCCAAAATGGGTCTACTGTGGCTTAAAAGATTCACAAATGACTCAGCTTGCCTTTTAACCTATACATATGTGTTAATTGTACATATATTTGTGTATAGGAAGAAAAACCTAGGTTTACCCAAGGTATGAACAACACAAAAACACACTAAAACCTACATGAATTCTACAATTCTTCACCAAATTTGACCTCTAACTTGACCTTGGCTTTGACCTCTATCACGACTTTGACCTCTAACTTGACCTTGGCTTTGACCTCTATCCCGACTTTGACATCTTACTCGACCTTAACTTTGACCTCTATCCCGAACATGACCTCTTACTTGACCTTGACTTTGACCTCTATCAAGACTTTGACCTCTAACTTGACCTTGGCTTTGACCTCTGTCCCGACTTTGACCTCGTTTTTGACCTTGACCTCTAACTTGACCTTGGCTTTGACCTCTATCCCGACTTTGACCTCTAACTCGACCTTAACTTTGACCTCTATCCAACATGACCTCTACTTGACCTTGACTTTGACCTCTATCCCGAACTTTGACCTCTACTTGACCTTGACTTTGACCTCTTCAAGACTGACCTCTAACTTGACCTTGGCTTTGACCTCTATCCCGACTTTGACCTCTAACTCGACCTTAACTTTGACCTCTATCCCGAACATGACCTCTTACTTGACCTTGACTTTGACCTCTATCAAGACTTTGACCTCTAACTTGACCTTGGCTTTGACCTCTGTCCCGACTTTGACCTCGTTTTTGACCTTGACCTCTAACTTGACCTTGGCTTTGACCTCTGTCCCGACTTTGACCTCTAATTTGACCTTGACTTTGACCTCGACCCAGCCTTGACCTTGACTTTGACCTCTATCCCGACTTTGACCTCATTCTTGACCTTGACCTCTAACTCGACCTTGACTTTGACCTCTACTTCGACTTTGACCTCATTCTTGACCTTGGCTTTGACCTCTACCTTGTCTTTGACCTCATTCTTGACCTTGACCTCTTACTTGACCTTGACTTTGACCTCTAACTTGACCTTGGCTTTGACCTCTATCCCGACTTTGACCTCTAACTTGACCTTGACTTTGACCTCTTCCCGAACTTGACCTCTTACTTACCTTGACCTTGACCTCTAACTTGACCTTGGCTTTGACCTCTATCCGACTTTGACCTCTAACCCGACCTTGACTTTGACCTCTATCCCGAACATGACCTCTTGACCTTGACCTTGACTTTGACCTCATATCAAGACTTTGACCTCTAACTTGACCTTGGCTTTGACCTCTGTCCCGACTTTGACCTCATTCTTGACCTTGACCTCTAACTTGACCTTGGCTTTGACCTCTATCCCGACTTTGACCTCTAACTCGACCTTAACTTTGACCTCTGTCCCGAACTTGACCTCTTACTTGACCTTGACTTTGACCTCTATCACGACTTTGACCTCTAACTTGACCTTGGCTTTGACCTCTGTCCCGACTTTGACCTCGTTCTTGACCTTGACCTCTAACTTGACCTTGACTTTGACCTCTATCCCGAACTTTGACCTCATTACTTGACCTTGACTTTGACCTCTAACTTGACCTTGGCTTTGACCTCTGACCCGACTTTGACCTCATTCTTGACCTTGACCTCTAACTTGACCTTGACTTTGACCTCTAACTTGACCTTGGCTTTGACCTCTTTCCCGACTTTGACCTCTAACTCGACCTTAACTTTGACCTCTATCCGACTTGACCTCTTACTTGACCTTGACTTTGACCTCTATCACGACTTTGACCTCTAACTTGACCTTGGCTTTGACCTCTGTCCCGACTTTGACCTCGTTCTTGACCTTGACCTCTTACTTGACCTTGACTTTGACCTCTACTTGACCTTGGCTTTGACCTCTATCCCGACTTTGACCTCTTACTTGACCTTGACTTTGACCTCTATCCCGACTTTGACCTCGTTTTTGACCTTGACCTCTAACTTGACCTTGACTTTGACCTCTACTTCGACTTTGACCTCATTCTTGACCTTGACTTTGACCTCTTCGACTGACCTCTAACTTGACCTTGGCTTTGACCTCTATCCCGACTTTGACCTCTTACTTGACCTTGACCTTGACCTCTAACCCAGCCTTCACCTTGACTTTGACCTCTATCTCGACTTTGACCTCATTCTTGACCTTGACCTCTAACTCGACCTTGACTTTGACCTCTACTTCGACTTTGACCTCATTCTTGACCTTGGCTTTGACCTCTATCTTGACTTTGGCCTCATTCTTGACCTTGACCTCTTACTTGACCTTGACTTTGACCTCTAACTTGACCTTGGCTTTGACCTCTATCCTGACTTTGACCTCATTCTTGACCTTGACCTCTAACTTGACCTTGGCTTTGACCTCTATCCCGAACTTGACCTCTTACTTGACCTTGACTTTGACCTCTATCAAGACTGACCTCTAACTTGACCTTGGCTTTGACCTCTGTCCCGACTTTGACCTCATTTTTGACCTTGACCTCTAACTTGACCTTGACTTTGACCTCTATCCCGACTTTGACCTCTTACTTGACCTTGACTTTGACCTCTAACCAGCCTTCACCTTGACTTTGACCTCTATCCCGACTTTGACCTCGTTCTTGACCTTGACCTCTAACTTGACCTTGGCTTTGACCTCTATCCCGACTTTGACCTCTAACCCGACCTTAACTTTGACCTCTATCCCGA